ATTACTTTGCGCGTAGCTTCATCTCGTCAATATCCAAAAGTCAACATTTAAAAAAATGTCCGGAACTGAGCGCTGACTTTAATTAGATAAGTCCCTTTTTTTTTTCCTCTCAGAAAAAGGAAAAAAGTTAAAATAAATGAATTTAATTTTGACGGCGCAAACAGAAATTTCCAGGAATTTTCAATTATCCAGCTTATTATTCAATATTTAACAATTAATTTTATTAAATTAATTTTCAGAGAATATAATCACCAGGAAAGTGCCTAAAAAATAATCTCAGCCACAAAAATTATAAAAAATAAAAGGTTTTTATTATTTTTTTATTTTTTATAAATGTATTTCATAAATTCTGCTTCTAAATGTTGTTTGATCATTCTTTTGTTCTGTAAAATTATAAATTTTTAATATATCCATAAACTTTTTTTTTAAAAAAATGATAATATAAAAGCATTTATTTTTCTTTAATTTTTACCACTTGAATTCAAAAGGAAAATTTAAAAAGTATTAAAAATTTCCCCTTACCACACGGCGTTTGATTTATTCCATTTATGCCCCTCGTTTTACCCGGTCAAGTGACCCATTTTTCCCTTTAATATTGTCTAAATCAGTCCTTTCATTTTCATATGAACAAGTTGCTAATGTTCACATTTTAATTTCTAATTAAATGCTTAATCAACCCTTCTAATTTCAACCAATTTTTTTTTATTTTGAAAAATAAATTTATTCTAACTAAACCAAACCCTACCTAATCCGTTTAAATCGTTTTTTTTTATAAATTATTAAATAAAGCGTTTTTGACCTATCGACCACCGAAAAAACATTGTCCACTTTAAGTGTAAGCTCTCATGGCTTTGCTTTGGGCTTCCCCAAAAGGCCTCATACCATATCAATGGAGTTAGTATTCCTCACTTCATGATCATTCCCTAAATTAGCCGATGTGGGACTTTCATCATCCAACAGCTTCTATAAAAAATTCAAAAGGGTCGTCTATAAAAAAATGTTCATCTATAACATGTGAGATCTTACCTTAGTTGGAGATCTGAAAATCTCTCCCTAACCTACATATGTGCTTTAAAACCACGAGACTGACAACAACACGTTACGGACCAAAACGAACAATATCTACTCGCGCAGTGAGCTTTTACTATTACGTAACCAAAGTATCACTAACCCTAGATTAAGTATTTCTCGAAAGATCCTTCTAATTCATATTGCACTTGGTGGATCCAACACCTAAAAGATCTTCTTTCGAGTTCGGATGAAATTTTGGATCTTAAAATTTTGAGTTTAATAAAAAAAATTCTAATTTATGTCTTATCTATTTGCCGAAAATACGTAGAAGGAAGGTTGGAGTTTGTTTGTTCGTGCAAGGTGGCAGTGGGTTTGAGTTTTCTATGGTCGTCGATTGGGTCAATTCGTGTACGTGTTTTTGCCTTCGATCTTTGTTTTATATTTCTCAAATCAAAGATCAAATTTCGATTCCCCATTTCTCTGTCTCGATTCCCCAATCCCATCCGCACCACCAACAACAGCAGCAACAGCAGCAGCAGCAGCCATTTTTTGATCCTGTATTTGCTTTTCTTCTGTTGATTTTTGCTGTTTCCAACTTCATGGACTAGACGAGCATGACGAAGTCCAAGAGTATGTTACACAACCTCATGAGACCATTCAGATTCGGTTCATCAAGAGGTACCTGCCAAAAATCCACTTGGTTTCTTCTTCTGGTCCCTTTTTAACTAGGGCAAATCATTTTCTGTATCTTCTGATCTTGATTTTTATTAGCGATTGATGGTTTGGGTTGATTAGATAGTCAGGGCGAAGACGATTTGGAGCAGATTGCAGCTAATGAAAAGAAGTTTTTTCGGTTCGAAACCTTAGTTGAAGCTACCAACAATTTCCACCCCACGAACAAGCTTGGCCAAGGCGGATTTGGTCCAGTTTTCAAGGTCAGATCCAAACCTTACTCCATTGACTGCAAAATTTATACTCTGACCGTGAATCGAACCATCGAAACTCTTCCTTTTTGCTCTTATTTTATTTCATCGAATTTTTCGTAGTTAACAAGGATTTGGACTCACATGGAAGTTTTTAAGTAATCTTGTTGCCCTTTCTGCCATTTTGTTTTCTATATCACATCTGTTTTAGCAGCATTTTTCTTCGTTGTTTTGTGCTGAACTTTTGACCTCAATTTGCGGTCAATTAGAAATACAGCGACTATCACTTTCCTTGGGTTTCTCCCTATTTGCCTCCTCACTTGCAATGAATCCTGGAATTCGGGAGAACATGTTTACTATCAAGAATCAAGCTAAATACATGTGTTTGGTGTTTTTTTTCTTAATTTTAATTCTTATTTTTCAAACAAATTATGCAATCAAGCCTCTCATATTTCTACATTTTTCAATCATACCCTTTATTGGTCAATATTAAATTAGTTGAAGACGAAGTTGAAATGATATTTAGTGAGTTAGCATATATTTAGGGGAGAAGTTAGGCTACTTAAGATAGAACAGTTCTGTTAAATTATTTTCCACAGCTATGTACAAAAATGAATTATGCCCTGTTTGATCATTTAGTTCTGTTTTTTAAATTTATGTTTTTTTTTTTTTAATAAATTTCATACTATGGTTTCTACATTTCTTGAAGGAACTTTTGAATTCTTGAACTCCTGAATCTTTAAGTATGTCTAGAATTTATTTTCGAGGTAAGTTCTGTTCTAAGGATAATTTAATTGATAACATCTTTAAAGATTCACCGTCCAAGCTTGTTCTTGTTTAAAAAAATGGAGAGCATGATTCAACATCCTTTTCAAGTAACATCCAAGTTTCTTTTACCTTTTTTTTTTGTAGGGGAAGTTGAAGGATGGAAGAGTGATTGCAGTTAAGAAGTTGTCGCAATATTCAAAACAAGGAAAAAAGGAGTTTATGACTGAGGCCAAATTGTTGGCTCGTGTGCAGCACAGAAATGTTGTCAATTTGTTGGGATACTGTGTGCATGGTTCAGAAAAATTACTGGTTTACGAATACGTCACGAATGAGAGCCTCGACAAGCTTCTCTTTAGTAAGTGATGCTGGGAAATTTAGTTCTTCTTTCAACTCTATATTATTATTTTTGTTGTTGATATGATGCCTGATCTTCGAAGAACTGTCGGTGATAATAATTGTTGTTTGTTGTTGTTGTTATGGCAGAAGCCAGCAGACGAGGAGAACTTGATTGGAAGATGAGGTATGGCATAATCTGTGGCGTAGCACGAGGGTTGCAATATCTTCATGTAGACTCACATAATGTCATTATCCATCGTGACATTAAGGCTGGTAACGTTTTGTTGGATGATAAATGGGTCCCTAAGATTGCGGATTTTGGTATGGCTCGTCTCTTCCCGGAAGATCAAACTCATGTCAATACTCGTGTTTCTGGTACAAAGTAAGTTTCTTTGCTTTGCTGCAACACTCCATCAAATTTCTGAATCCTATTTGGAGCGCTTCGCTAATTTTCCTTTTTCATATATGAATAGTGGGTATATGGCTCCCGAATATGTAATGCACGGGCATCTATCTGCGAAGGCAGATGTATTTAGCTTTGGTGTTTTAGTGTTGGAGCTTATCAGTGGCCAGCGAAACTCGTTATCGTCTGGTTTATTTCCGGACGCCGAAAATTTACTTGATTGGGTAAGGTTTTAATTGTATTGGCTATGTAGATTGATCATATTAAAAGATCATCACTATAGTTGTTAGTCATTTAGAAATTTGTGATCTGTTCTCTATAAGGTCTTACTGAGATATGAATTTTGCTGCAGGCTTACAAGCTTTACAAGAAAGGCAGGAGCATGGAGATCATGGACCCAACTTTAGCATCATCAGCTGACCCTGACCAAGTTACAATGTGCATTCAGATAGGATTGCTTTGCACACAAGGCGATCCGCACCTACGGCCGACCATGCCACATGTAGTTTTGACCCTGTCGAGGAGACCTGGTACTTTGGAGGAACCAACAAGACCGGGAATGCCTGGTTCTCGATATAGAAGAACACGTAGGACAAGCGTATCGTCCTCCAATGCTGGAACTTCTGGTGCATCCGATTCCTATGCTTCGACGACCAATACTACTGGAACTATTACTGCAGCGGCAACTGCAACTGCAAATGAGATTGCTTCTGGTTCTTCTTCAGTTAGTCAAGGATATGTTACTCGTAGGAAAACTATTACTGCAACCGAAAACGAAATTGCTTCTGGTTCTTCTTCAGTTAGTCAAGGATACGATACTCGTGGGAAACGTCCCATGGAAGGTTAGGGTCTTTTCTAATAGGTTCATTCTTTTTGTTCATAAGTTTTGTACCCTTAGTTATATTAGAATGTAAATGTGGCTGTGGAAAGTTTTTGCTTGGATCGCCATTCCTTCCCCATTCCCCCTTCCTCATCAGATTTTTTGTGTACAGTAAGTTTGCAGTTGTAGGCCCAATCCCCAATGTACAAATATCTGCACTCTGTATTTTCAACAAAAACAGTTTTAGTTATCAAACAATGGTTTGATGCAACTTTGATCATTCTTTTTCATTCCACTGAGATGTAATCAAAAGATCTCTCGCTTATTTTTTAATTGTTTAGGTATAAAATATGGTAGCGAAGATCTGAGATCCCATATCGGTTAGAGAAAGAAATGAAACTTGGGTGTGGAAACCTCTCCTACTAAGCGTATTTTAAAACCTTGAGCGAAAGCCAAGAAGGAAAAAATTAACATTATTTGCTAGCAATAGGCTTGAATTGTGAGATCCCACGTTTAGAGAAGGGAATGAAATATTTTTTATATGGATGTGGTAGAGAGGGGAACGAACGAATGAAAGAGAGAAGAACGAAGTATTCCTTATATGGATGTTGAAACTTCCTTCAAAAGCGTTTGCACAACTAGCTTGTAATAAAAACAATAATAATATTTTAATAATAATTTAGTCCTTGCTTTAAAATTTAATAAAAATTTCAATTATATTAATGGAAGTATGGTTTGTTATGTTTTGAATGGATAAGAAGGGGTTGAAGTGTTTGTAAAACGAGTGAAACAGGAATGGCTTGCTTCTTCTGCATTTCTGTGACCAAAAATGTGGCTCTCGCTTCACTCAATCCCAGCGACGACTCTCACTCGCCTCCTCCCAAAACCAATGGCGCCGCCGAAACTATTCCGGTCAACAATCCACAGTTACGCCGGCGGCAGCGGCGGCTTCCAAAACCTCGTCGGCCCTCCGTTATTGAAATCGAACGTGCTATTGGTGCCGGAAGGTTCAGAGACGCGGATCCCAGGCAAGTCCGAGAGTTCTCTTTATGCTCGCTTACTGTGGGTTGGAATCTGGAATTTATTGTAGTGAAATATGAGATGTAATCTGAAGTTTTGATGCTCAGGGATTTGGAAGAAGATAGGAAGGCGGCATTTGACATGTTTTTGATGAGTTTTACGGGAAAATATGAAGGGGCACTCATGAAGAAGCTTCGCGAGACAGGGGAATGGGTAACTGATCAGACTGAAACCAAATTTCAAGCTTCAGGTAACCATTCTCTCGAAATTTGATTGTCTTTTTGAGTAATGAACACTCCACTCCCTCTAGAATCTAGAGAATGAAGGAGTTCATTAATGATGTTGCTGGATTACCCCATCAAAGAAGACATATATTTTGTCATATTCGTTTGAGTTGGATTTTAATTTGCAGGAAAATCGTTTCTGCTGTTTACGTTTCAATGGGTTCTTCCAATTTGGGCATTCTCACTCCTTGTGGCTTCTGGGGTCATTAAGTTACCATTCAACACTCCATTTCTTGATCAACTTCTTACGTAACAAGCTTTGTTAAGTTTCTAATAAGTCCGTGTAATAGGATTTGTGAGTCATGTTCGATATTTTTAAATTCTCAAATTTATTGGACATAAAATTGAAAGTTTAATGCTTTTAGATACAAAATTCGATTCACATGAACTTAGTAAACACAGTTCAATTGATGACGGCCGTTTATTGACTAACGGAGATTGGAAAATACCATTGTGCAAAAACCCGAAAATTGACACCCCAAAGGCCTCGGGTAAACTACCATGAGTTGAGTTGACCTAATAATTAATAATAAAGGGCTTATCATTTTTCTACTTCCAACCAAGTATTCTAACAGAAAAGGTAGAGAGCAACCAGGTGAACGTGGAGCTGTTACAAAATGGACGATCTATTTGATACTATGAACTACTTTTCCAGTTACCTCCACACAAAGTGAATTGATGTAAAATATATTTCGACATGGGTTTCAGTATGCAGTTCTGAAGTTGAGTTAAGTCATGGTGTGACGAACATTGTGAGATGAGTGTCTTGGACGTCTTCCTTAGAAAATAATTTTTTTGAAGACACTATTACACGACACGTGTGCCGATATTATGCCCTAGCCTATAAGTCAAAAGTTGGTATATGTGCTGCTCTCTTGTACGGTATTTGTAAATTTATATCTAGATCATGATACTACACTGTGCAAAAAATGAGACTGAGCTCATTCTAAATCCTGCTCTTTAGGCTTCAACTGAACCACAAATTTATTTTATTATTTAATCCATATTTAAAACACTCCCTTTCCCTCTATGGTGGCTCCACCCAAGCCTTTCGTGTGTTTTTGGTCTTCTTGTCAAGAGCCTAGCAGCAGCCTAACAGTGGTGGCTGGGGAGGCGGATTCCACCGCCCATTCCCTAGAAAAGAGCTTGGCGCCCATTTGATCGATCGAGACAAACCAGTGTCATGATATGGCCGAAGAGAAAGATACACATCCAACACACGAAGAAGAGTATGAATGAAAACCAAACTGGTACATAAACAAGATTAGGGGCAATGAGTTGTCATGATTACCCAGTGAAGAGGACCAGGTAATTCTTGAGTCATTTAAGTCCGTAAATATAAAAGATGAGAGAGGTTGTCAAATTTGATGTCAATCGGACATGAAGCTATATGACCATTCGCAAAAATTATGTTACTCCAATTAGACCTAAAATATCTCCTATAGGGGAGTGATATGAATCAAGGCCTACTGATTTTGGGGATCCTTTCCATTCTCTAAACCTACTGCACGTGTACAAGACTTCGAGGGGGTATTAAAAACATCCCGAGCCTTTGGAACAGCCACCCCTTGAGGGTCCATTGATATCTATTCTTTCGAACACTTTTCGTTTAGCAGAGATCTTTTCAATGTATTTGGCTGCATATTCAAACCAGCAACAGTAATGTTCTAAATAATGTCCTTCTCCAACATGTTTTTCTAATTTGTCCTTGTGGTCTTTTGTCCTACCTTAAGGCCTTGTACTTATTCGGGTATTTGTTCTTCTTGATTGTTTTCTTAACATCCTTTGTTGAGATTACAAGTTTTTCTCCGTCAACCTTGTGTATTTCCTTATATCTTGGAGAATATTTCCTTCATGGTATCCAACAAGGTTTGACAAAATCAACCTTATTCCCACGAGGTTGTATCTTAGATACTTCCTTCTTGTACAAGACTTATTGGTGGATTCCTAGGGTCTTAAGTCCTTCTTTCCTCTGAGTATATACTATTTCTTTTTTTTTTTTAATACCTGAATCCTTCCTTGGACACCTTAAACTTACCCAAGTATCTTAATCTTACTTCTTCTCTTACAAATTCTCCTTTCTCTTCAAACTTTCGGCCTCGACAATTCACTTTTCTTACCATGCCCGGGAGTAGTTCTTGGTCTTAGTTATGTCCTTCCAAGTTCTTCGAGGGTCCTTGCATGAGTTTGTCCATCTCAAACATGTTTTTCTAATTTATGTCCTTCCAAGTTCTTCGAGGGTCCTTGCATGAGTTTGTCCATCTCAAACATGTTTTTCTAATTTTCCCTTGTAGCCTTTCCTTTTGCCTTAAGGCCATGTACTTATTCTGGTATTTGTTATTCTTGAACATCTTTGTTTAGCCTTTCCTTTTGCCTTAAGGCCATGTACTTATTCTGGTATTTGTTATTCTTGAACATCTTTGTTAAGATAACAATTCTTTCTTGGTCATCCTTGTGTTTATCCTTANATCTTGGAACATATTTCATGTCCTTCCAAGTTCTTCGAGGGTCCTTGCATGAGTTTGTCCATCTCAAACATGTTTTTCTAATTTTCCCTTGTAGCCTTTCCTTTTGCCTTAAGGCCATGTACTTATTCTGGTATTTGTTATTCTTGAACATCTTTGTTAAGATAACAATTCTTTCTTGGTCATCCTTGTGTTTATCCTTATATCTTGGAACATATTTCCTTCCTCGTACCCAACAAGTTTTGACATAAACAACCTTGTTCCTTCAAGGTTGTATCTTAGAGACTTCTCTTGTGCCTACTTGTACTAAGCTTATTGGTGGATTCTTAGGGTCTTAAGTCCTTTCCTTCTTTCCTCGAAGTAAATACTATTTCATTTTCAAACCTTTTATAGAAAATCTTAGAATTTTTCTTGGGCACCTAAAAAAAATCCGAGTATCTTAATCTTACTTGGTACTTACAAATTCTCCCCCTCTTAAAAACATTCATCCTCGAAACTTCACTTTTCTTACCATGCCTTCGAGGAGTTCTTGGACTTAGTTATGTCCTTCCAAGGTAGGGGGTCTTTGCTTAGGTTTGTCCTTCTTCAAATTTTTTTTTTCTAATTTGCACTTGTGGCCTTTCGTCTTACCTTAAGGCCATGTACTTATTCTAGTATTTGTACTTCTTGACCCTTATCTTAACATCCATTGTTGAGATTAAAAGTCTTTCTTAGTCGTCCTTGTGTTTTTCCTTATATCTTGGAGCATAATTTCTTCCTTGTATTCAACAAGTTTTGACATAATTCCTTCCTAATATTAATCATACATATTTATTGGTTGCTTTAGAACTAAGGCAATTTAATTTTCCTGTTCTACACATTGTGAAAGAAGGAGTGAATCCTCATAAGCCATGTGGGTAATAGGCTTTCCTACCCAAGGAGTGAATCCTCAGAAGCAATGTGAGTAATAGGCTTTGCCTTTCCTACTCAAGGAGTGAATCCTCTGAAGTCATGTGGGTAATTTTCACTGCAGTATTATACAGAAATGGCGAAATTCAGTCTCACTCCAAAAAGTCGATTAGCCACCACTCCAAAAGTCGATTAGCCACCACTCCAAAAGTCGATACACCACCAATCAAAATGATAGTATTTTTCGATACACCACCACAGCAAATGATAGTACTTTTCTATAAACCACCTATCCTAAAGCGAGATTCAGTATCTTAGAGACTTCTCTTGTTCCTTCTTGTACAGGGCTCTTAGGGTCTTAAGTCCTTTCCTTCTTTCCTTGGAGTAAGCACTATTTCGTTATCAAACCTTTTTCAAACTCTTGAATCCTTATAATTCTTAGCTAGGGCATTGAAAATCTCTTCCTTTGGCCCATTAACCTTCTATGGTTCTCTTAATCCTTTTGTTAGACCCTTAATCCTTTCATGGACACCTTAAACTAACTCGAGTATCTCTTATCTTATTTGGTCTCTTCCAAAGTCTCCCCCTCTTAAAAACTTTCATCCTCGAAACGTCACTTTTCTTACCATGCCATGGGGGAGTTCTTGGTCTTACTTATGTCCTTTCAAGTACCTCGGGTGTCCTTGCATGGTTTTGTCCTCATCCAAAATGTTTTTTTAATTCGCACTTGTGGCCTTTTGTCCTACCTTAAGGCCATGTACTTATTCTAGTATTTGTTTTTCTTGACTCACATCTTAACATCCATTGTTGAGATTCCAAGTCTTTCTTGGTCGTCCGTGTGTTTTTTCTTATATCTTGGAGCATATTTCCTTCCTTGTATTCAATAAGTTTTGACATAATCAACTTTATTCCCTTAAGGTTGTATCTTAGAGACTTCTCTTGTTCCTTCTTGTACAAGGTTTATTGGTTGGCTCTTAGGGTCTTAAATCATTTCCTTCTTTCCTTGGAGTAAGCACTATTTCGTTTTCAAATGCTTGAATCTTTATAATTCCTAGCTAGAGCATTGAGAATCTCTTCCTTTGGCCCATAAACCTTCCTTGGGTCTCTTACTCTTAACCCTTTTGTTAGATCCCTTAATCCTTTCATGGACACCTTAAACTTACCCGAGTATCTCTTAGTCTTATTTAGCCTCTTTCAAATTCTCCCCCTCTTAAAAACTTTCATCCTCGAAACGTCACTTTTCTTACCATGTCTTGGGGGAGTTCTTAGTCTTAGTTATGTCCTTCCAAGTACCTCGGGGGTCCTTGCATGGGTTTGTCCTTATCCAAAATATTTTTCTAATTTGCACTTGTGGTCTTTTGTCCTACCTTAAGGTCACGTACTTATTCTAGTTTTTGTTCTTCTTGACTCTCATCTAACATCCATTTTCTAGATTACTAAGTCTTTCTTGAACATCTTTGTTTTTTTTTTCCATATATCTTGGAGCATATTTCCTTCCTTGTATCCAACAAATTTTGACATAATCAACCTTATTCCTTCAAAGTTGTATCTTAGAGATTTCTCTGGTCCCTTTTTGTACCAAGCTTATTGGTGGATTCACTGGGTCTTACTTAAGTCCTACTTTCCTTCTTCCCTCTTAGAATTACTATTTCTTTTTTAAACCTTTTTCAAAGGAAGGTTTAAATCCTTATAATTCCATAATGCATTGAAAATCTCTTCCTTTGGCCCATTAACTTTCCTCGTGTCTTTCCATCTTTTTTTTTTTTTTATCCTTAAATCCTTTCTTTGGTACATTAAACTTAACCGAGTATCTTAATCTTACTTGGTCTCTTACAAATTTTCCCGCTCTTAAAAACTTTCATCCTCGAAACTTCGCTTTTTTTACCATGCCTTGTTGAAGTTCTTGGTCTTAGCTTTGTCCTTCCAAGTACCTTAAGGTCATGTACAAGGCCTATTGGTTGGTTCTTAGGGTTTCAGGTCCTCCTTTCCTTGTTGTTACTAGGTTTCTTAATCCTTGAAACAATTTTTGGCCTCGTAAAGATTGCTTTGTCTTGAGACAATCCTTTTTAGGAGGGCCTATAGTCTTAATTCTTTCATCTTGGTCTTATGAACTCAAGGGTTACTACTTGTCCTCAAGGGTGTTAAGGTCATCTTACATCTTTGCTTGTATAGTAACCCTAAAGTTAATCAAACACATAAAAGTCTTTGGCATCCTTAGCTTAAAGTCTTAAAGGTGTTCATTCCTAGTCGTGGTGGAGCGTCTCTCGAGCAAGGCCATAGAGAACCTTTACTTTGATATTACTCTGTCATGACTCAATTTCACAAGTCGCAACTATATAAAATCTTGAAAAAACAAAAAAAAATCGGTAAAAAAATTTGTGTTTAATACAAAAACATAAAATACATTTTATTCAAAATAAATTCTATGAGTTTAAATACATTGGGCCCATTTAATAAAACAATTTAAAACATTAAAGAACTGAATTGCTCTATATGGCACCTGCTCCAGATCCATTTCCAGCCTCGATTAGCTCATTTTCGCATGTTAAAAACATGAGAGAACTAGAATGAGTATAAAAACTCAGTGAGTTGCATACTTGCCCGCTCTTAATTTAACTTTCTTTCCTCCTTTCATACATAAACATTAACCTAAAAAAGTTCAAAGGATTGTCCATTATCCAAAACTTGGGAGTCGAATCTCATACTTTAACCCACAATTCTCGTCTCCAATTTTATCTTCTTTTCCTCCTTCCTTACAAACATAACTATCAAACTCAAAAAATCCATACGATTGTAATCATCTCACTTAATTGTTCTTGGAAATTCATAGACGCGTTATGAGAAAGTATCTCATTTCCTCACAATAATACTTTCTCCACTTGCTCCAAATTAAATCTTAATAGACAATATTACCTCAAACATTATTGTCGATCCAAAGAATTAAAGAAATTATCAATCAAGTTGAAGTTGAACCCAAAATTGTCTTTCTTCCCTCCTTTCATACATAACCATTGAACTAAAGAATTTCAAAAGATTTGTCCATTATCAAAAAGTTGGGATTCCAATCCCATACTTTTAACCCATAAATCTTGTATCCAACCCATTTCTTTCTTACATACATAATCATCCAACTCAAAAAATCCAAAAGATTATCCGTATCTAACTGGTAAACCAAGTACAATTTAAGCTTTCTTTAGAACCAAATAAGGAAATTCTTTTATTCTAGCACTTCCTTCCTCTCAAATTTCACAAAACAATTTTTGCAATCTCTTATTCCTCAAGTTCAAGAATTCTTAGCTTTTCCATTGTCTTTTTTTTCAAATGTTTTCATACTTCTTATGGCATATGACATCTAAGTATTCTTAGATTTCCAATTGTATATTTCATAGTCCTCCATTTACCACTCTATTTACCACTCTAAGTGGATTGTTTTTCTTTTTACATAAGGATATTATCTCATCTAATTCTTCGAGGAAACCCATAGACCATTCTATCTAAGTAACTTCATCTTTCTTCCTTCCTTACATGCTTTAAACCAAAATTTGTATCCAAATTTAACTTTCTTCCGTCCTTTCATACATAACAATTCAACTTAGAAACTTCAAAAAATTGTCCATTCTAAAAAAGTTGGGACTCCAATCACATACTTCAACCCAAAATTCTCGTATCCAAACTTATCTTTCTTCCTTCCTTTCATATATAACCCTCAAACTCAAAAAATCCAAAAGATTATCCTTTATCCCACTTATAGACTAAAAGGCAATTAAACTTTTCTCTAGCACCAATTAAGCATAATTTTTTATTCTATTGCTCCCTTTTTCTAAAATTTCACAAACCTCTTCTTGTGATCTCTCATTCCTCGATTCAACAACTCTTCGCTTTCCAATCATCCTTAATTCAAATTCTTTCATACATCTTATTCCTCAGTTACAACAATTCTTCACTTTCCAATCGTCTATTCGATTATGTAACCCCACATCTACCACTGTACACATAATGTTTCCTCCTTTATGTGCATAATACCCAGTGTTATTTTTTCATTTAATTCATCACGGAAACTCATTGACAAATCTAAGAAGTGCCTTCATTCATCATCTTAATGATTCATCCAATTTACAAATCTTTACAACCCCTTTTCCGTAAAATAAACCTCCTTGCTTAGAAAGGGTTGGAAGACCTTGGGGGTGCAGTGTAGCCTTAGTAGATCACACCTCTGTATGGTATGGGAGAGTGTGTACAATTTTTGTAATTACCTTTAAATCTTATTTTGTTTGATTGGAGTATCTTTTTAGGTCAATTGGGCTCTCCCTTGGGGATATCACACCCGTTTCTTTTAAACAATCCTTTAGGTCTTAGTTTGCTTGATTTGAGCACCCTTTATAGGTCAATTGGGTTTTCTATTGGGGTGGTTTTCTAATGTTCCTCTTGTATTCTTTTATTCGATCTCAATGAAAGCTTCACTTTCATTTTTTCTTAAAAATTAAAAATTAAAAAAAAAAAAAGAAAAAAAAGATCTATTCATAACTACCTAAAAAGCTCATAAAACAAAAGACATAATTTAATTCCTTACACATGAACCTCTTTCAACTTTAACATTCATTATAATCTTTTATTGTAGTTTAAAAGAATAAAAACATGATATCCGAAGCACAAAGAACATCAAAAAAGAAAAACAAACACATAATAAAAGTTATACATAGGAATCTAACCTTGTTAGGACCACAACATTGTCAAAAATGTAATTCTTGCGAGAACCAGACCGAACATATGGTAGTTCATGATGTCAAATAGAAAATTTCTTACGTGGTGTGTTTAAAGTAGCAACTCTAGTTGGATTCCTTGTAGAATGACCTCAACTTTATTATCTCCATCTATATCCACCATGTCCATCTGAAATTTTCACAACATAGTTACTAACCAAAATCTTCTACGTTAGCAAAGAAAATATGAGCAATAATAACAAACCAATGAGATATGGACAATTTGAAACCATTAAAAGTGAACATTGACCATTTTTTATTAAAGTTTGACCCGTAAATAGAATTGATTCTAGCTTGTTATTCTTAAGTGTGTGAATAGAATAATCTAAAATAGTATTTACATGATCCAAACTTGCTAGGCCATCTATAACTCTCGTGCACGGAGTTAAATAAGCACCAAATATCAACTTTGAAAAGGTGACTGGTGACCCATATAATAATTTCCAATGAAACAATCTAGCAAGACAAAAACTTCTAAAGAAACCATAGAAAACATATTTCTTGAAATTTCCACATTTTAAAATCACTCACATCAGAAGCTTACATCTTTAGATTCTGCACCAAATTCTTTCTTAGACTCTGCCTTTTCCTCTTCAGCTGACCAAACTCTTTCTTCTACCTTTAAGAAAAATGTAATGTAGAGAAAATGTCAAAAAAATTTAACTCGTAAACTTATTAGAAAATAGAACAAAACTCGTCCTTCATTTTGCAGGGTTAATTCACACATTGGAAACATAAAACACTGAAAACTGAATGATGTTCAAATCGGTGAAAGGTTTGTATAGGGAAGAATCTACATATATGCACAATTGATAAATTAATCAGAGGATGTTATCATGCCATATTACAGCCTAAAGAAAATTAGTGCCAGAAAACTAGACCCCAAATCACCAAAGGGTATACATGATGTTGGTTATGATTGTTTGTGGGAGTTTTCTAGAGGGTATCTTTTTGGTTTTGCTGAAAGGCGGAATCGTCACGGTAACCTTAAAATTTCAAACCCAGAACAGCGACCAAACTACGCATAAACTAAAAGGCTGAAAACCAAATTTTAAGGCAATCGGAGGAAGAGAGAGTAGAATCGTCACTGTACCCTTGAAATTTCAAACTCAGACCGGCGACCAAACTACCCATAAAATTAAAAGGCTGAGAACGAAATTTTAAGGCAATCGGAGGGAGAGAGAGCAGAATTGTCACTGTACCCTTAAAATTTCAAATCCAGAACATCGGATCGAACTACCCATATAACGAAAAGGCTGAAAACGAAATTTGAAGGAAATCGGAGGAAGTGAGAGCAGAATCATCACTGTACCCTTAAAATTTCAAACCCAAAACAGCGATCAAACTACGCATAAACTAAAAGGCTGAAACGAAATTTGAAGGAAATCAGAGGAAGAGAGAGAAGAATCGTCACTGTACCCTTAAAATTCCAAACCAAGAACAGCGACTAAACCAGCCATAAAAGTAAAAGGCAGAATGAAGGTAGTTTACCTCTATTTTTCGTCACCGAGACGAGGCGAGAAACTCCTTTCGATTCTGCTCTCTCATCCTCCGATTGCCTGGTAACAAGGTAGCGTTTGGTTTGAGCAACGAAGACTCAAAGGGAAGAGGGCGTTGATGGAGCGCTCTGATTCTAATGTGAGAATGTGCTGAAGAAGAGAGCGTGAGAGTGAGTGCTGGAGAAGTATATAAGCCCGAGTGAAATACGCGCCCGTGGGGGCCGAGACAGCTGGCGTCCGAGAATGGCGGGTAACGGCTATGAAGACCGTTATGACTTTGACCCTGGAAAACCGTCGACGATATGAACGTTGAAGCTTATATTTCCGAACCTAACAAAACCCTTGTCGCCGGAGAGAAGGTACGAAAGAAAAAATGGACACCAATGACGTGGCTCTAATTTCTAACCTAATTTCTTTTAATATATTAAAGAGTTTAACTATCTCACTTACTAATAATTTATAAATATTAACCAACCTAATCATTTGCTAATTATTATCAACAGTTGTTAATGTAATTATATTGTAGTTAATTACCATCAATGGTAGCTAAAGGCAATTATGTTATATCAAAATTGTATAAATTGCAGTTAATTATCACTGTAATTCAACCTATTAACTAAATCGAAAAGAAAAACAGCAGCAAAATAGAAATTAAAAACTTGTAATCTAATCAATAGAATCACATATGATTAAAAACATAATTAAAAGTTAGAAAAATGCATTTAGAAATGAAACAAATCCTTTCTTCCGAAATTAC